TATGAAGAAGAACATATAGAAATCCCAACTACAAATGCTAGAACAAGCTAGTAAACATCGTCGACCTTCACAATTTCAAGAAGGGGACCTTGTTTGGGTTAAGTCTAAAGAGTTTTCCATAGAAGAAATGTGTCACATAAACTGCTACCTGTCTACAATGGACCCTGGGAAGTTCTCAAAGTAATTGGAGGTAAAGATGGACCTTCCTATTGTATAGATGTACCTCCACATCTCAGGACATACCCCGTCTTCCATGCGTCTAAGCTGTTACCCTATGTAGAAAGTGATAACTTTTCAAATAGGCCATCTATTTTTCCACCCTCTATGAATGAAGGCTATGAAGTTGAAAGAATATTGGATGGAACATGGCTATTTTTCTACAGGTGGCAGGGATGACCTCAAAAGCAGTATAAGGTAAAGTTCAAGACCCAACCTCCATCTGAAGCCAGATGGTTTAGTAGGAAAGAACTCCTACCTACTGCTCCTGGCATTGTTTTTGCATATGAATGTGGGTTAAGTGAAAATTAATGTATTTTCTGCGATGGAACTCGAAAACTGGGCCGACAGGAATGCAATAACCCATGCCATATGTCTCGTGGAAGCTGAGGGTCATCTGAGGGCCTACTTGGCCGCCCTCAGCCCAGGCCAAAACAGGGGAAAAAGACCCCATACGAATTCAGGGCCTGGGCGTGTGACAGTTGACTCGGTCCACTCAACAGTCAAATTCCAAAGGTACCTAGCCCAGGCCGCTGGTCAAGCACACACACTTGTTTGTATGCAGGTACCCAGACAACATCAGGTCCAAGGGAGAAGTCTGCAATTGTACAATGCGGGCCTTCCGATGTGAGCCAATCTGGACGACTGTGGAAAAAGCATCGAGGCCAGACAGCCTCGACCACTGCTACTAAAGGCTGGCCTCGAATGAGTCAAGCATTCAGTTTTGCTATGCTGCTTTGACGCTGGCTCGACTTTGACTAGACGCTGGCTGCATGCTAGCATGACGCTGCTACATGCTGGCTGTGCACAGGCATTGCGTACGACAACACAAGGTGGAGGCAGCATGCTGGCACTTCTTCTATGCGTCATACAATGCTGATGTGGCGCTGCCTCTGGTCTTCATGGCATGCTGATGTGGTGCTGCCTCTGGTCTTCATGGCATGCTGATGTGGCGCTACCTCTGGTCTACATTGCATGCTGATGTGGCGCTACCTCTGGTCTACATTGCATGCTGATGTGGTGCTACCTCTGGTCTACATTGCATGCTGATGTGGTGCTGCCTCTGGTCTAAAGTGCATGCTGATGTGGCGCTGCCACTGGTCTTCCTGGATGATGTGGCATATGCCACCTATCTTGACTGTTGACGTGGCACTGTCCACGCTGTCTACATGATGTGACTGGTTGCGAGGAGGAGGAAGGTCGGGATCTGTGGATGGAGGTCGGGTACTCACCTGAAGTTGACGTCGTCACTAGAATCTGCTATATCTTCATGGTCTTCACGAGATCAAGTGCCACGAGGCACCATTGTGTGTGATCAGGAATATACTTATTATCATTATTGATGTGGAGAGGGAAGAAGCCCTGTGAAGGAGAGGGGTCTGAAGGGAGTACTGTGTGAGTACTGTGTGATCTTTCATCTTCTCCTTTGTCTGTTCCCCCTCCACTCTCTCTCTTCCTTTTTATGGTAATAAGGTACTGTTTGAGTTATCACTTCACGATTTGGAGACTTTGAGGCAGAGGACGAGACTACTGATGTTTGACGACTTCTGAGTATCTGCCAGACTGGGTTCATTACAAACTTGTCAAGACAGCTCCTTAGATCGTGGCCGAATACGAGCGAAGACTGAAGGGGAAGGCAGCAGCATGAAGCATCTCAGCGGACTTGCGAAGCTAAGGGGGATGGAATGCGAGGAATGAGCCCTCACAGGGCCCTTATCAGACATGCACATGTTCTGGGCAGCGGCCCTTAGCAAGCCCCGTGCCCGCCCTAAGTGAAGGCGGGCCTAAATATTCTCTAGAGGCCAAAATTTTACAGTTTCCATATGTGGGTACTCAGGCAGTTGCAGCACGCCAGTTTGGTTGAATGGAAGTGTGAGCCTCCCTAAGCTGCACCGTACAGTTGGGCCCAGGCCTTGGTAGTTGCGTCTGGGCACATACACACACAACGCAGGGCAGATACATCACGAAGTGGCTACGGGCCTACGAAAAAACAGCATTATCGACGTACATACCTCGGTCCTGCGCAAATGCAGCAAACGGCTCAAGTCTGGAAACTCAGGCCATGCCCAGCTGTAAAGGGCCCAGGCCCTCAACTGCAGAGCTGGGCCTGGGCGCAGGCATTAGGGCCCGGCTGGAAGCTACTGGAAGCTTCCCAGCCAGGCCACACACAACCAAACAGAGGCTGCCCCTGCCATATAGGGAAGGAGGCAGCCAGGGTCAGGCATTCTGGCCCACACAGGCATTGCGGTCACGCTGCTGCGTTGCTGGGTGACAGGCTGCGTGCTGCCTTAGCAGGCCAGGGCGCGTGCGGGCACTTGTGAGGTGAGAGAGGCGCTGCTGGGCAGCGGAGCGCAGGCAGCCATAGCCGGGCTGCAGGGCGCTAGGGGGTAAGGGGCAATCGGTGGTCTTCAGGAAGGAGGCGAGTGTGGATGGTCAGGGTCTGATGAGGGGAGACGAGATACCTACCTGGTGCATAAGGGAGGTCGGCTATGGTGTTGACGTCATGTACATTGGTCTTCAAAGTCGAAGTGAGCCTGTTGCGTGAATGTGGATGTAGGTAGGATAGGCAAGTAGTGTAGGCTGGGCGCTGGTCGCCAGACAGAGAGGAGCGACATTGGATACTGTGTTGGTGTGGCCTGAGGGCTTGAACATTGGCTCATGACTTCATTGTATTGGTCTTATTAGGATGGAATCTGGGTGCAATTGTGCTCTCTGCTTGTACACGACTACTTGGACATCTGTGTGATTTCGCAACTTGGCTCTCTGTATATCGTTCCCACTCATATTCCTTGCACTCTATAGACCTTTTCTCATTATGTGGGTGGGTGGGTTGGTGTGTTAGCCTGCTTCACATTCTGTTGACGACTTAAATAAACCACCAGTACATTGCCCAGGCAAACTTGAGAATAACGGCTGGTGGCGGCACCCAGAAAAGGGAAAAAAAGTGTGCTGCAGGCGGTTCGACAAAGCTTGGCGCGCAGTGTGAATCCGCCACGGCAAAAAGAGAGGCTCAGATGTGGTGGTCCTCCCTACTCAGCTATGTAGTACTGGTTCTCCGTACTTATAATATGTACCTGGCGCATGTTCTCCGGAGTTGAGTTTTCTCATGCGATCGTGACCATCACATTTCTCTACGACAAACTACAGTCTTCCCCCTGAACACAAGGCATCCCGATGATGACTGCATGGGACCTGAAAGATACCCTGTGTGCATTAATGATCAGGTTGTGTTGGCTCGGGGGAAGGTAGTACATCCAGTACATTTGGGGCTATCCCTCAGCCTTCTTCTCATTCTGCAGTTGGCACCACTCTTCTCATTCTCCAGGTGGCTTAGCGGCGTTAGTCCTCTTTTCAGTCTGTGGGAAGATGATGTGGCTATTTAACCTGTTAGGGTACATGCAGCCTTTTCTGATTCTCTGGGGAGAATCATCTTCGTTTTGCCCCTGCAATTTCGAATAAGCAGAATGTGGGAGAGGCTTGATAAAGAGACTGCAACGATCACCTTCATCTCTTTAGGGCTCTGTTGCATCCCGGGCGTCCTCTAAGGCCGTGCCCATCTTGATATGTTGGGGCTGCAGCCGACTTCTGAAAGCAGCACTGGGTTACTAAAGTTGACCACGAAGTTGACCGCAAAGTCGACAGGAAAGTTGACCACAAAGTTGACCTGGGGAGAATCATCTTCGTTTTGCCCCTGCAATTTCCAATGACCAGAATGTGGCAGAGTCTTGATAAAGCAACTGCAACCATCACCGTCATCTCTTTAGGGCCCTGGCGCATCCCGGGCCTCCTCTAAGGCCATGCCCATTTTGATATGTTGGGGCTGGAACCGGCTTCTGTAAGCAGCACTGGGTTACTGAAGTTGACCACAAAGTTGACCGCAAAGTTGACCACAAGATTGACCGCAAAGTTGACTGCAAAGTTGACCACAAGATTGACCGCAAGATTGACCACAAAGTTGACCATAAAGTTGACGGCAAACGTGACCACAAAGTTGACCATAAAGGTGACCACAAAGTTGACCGGAAAGTTTACCACAAAGTTGGCCGTGGTCAAGTGGGTGTCCATTTTGGTAAGCAGTTGGAGCCTTGTGAGGGCGAAAAAGGGCACCTGAAACTGAAGCAGGATGGTTCAGCAGGGCAGCCCCAGATACACTGACAGTATAGGAACTGCGTACACGGTCACAGGACAGAGGGAAATACTTGGGCGGGAAATTAAGGGTACAGCCGTATCGAACCTTCACCAATAATGAAGGTTTGAGATAACCTGGGTTCTGCTTCTGTATGTGTCTATGCCCTTGCTCAATGTCGGTTAATCTTGATTCTTGACTTAATATCGTATCCCTTCTAGTGGAGGGTAAACTGGGTGCTGCTCCCTAAGGATAGAATGGACCTTCTCGTTACATGGTTACAAGGCGCTGTGATCTGCACGATAAACTTTCAGAAAAACTGAAAATCAAAAGAAAGCAAATCCGTAACTATCATTACCCAGGAAGTTAACGCTTCTAGAAGAACTTGGTACAGTCTATTGACGGGTGTACCAGCTATCTAAGTCCCATGCTTGTTGTGTATAGATAAAGTTGATAAACCAGTTGTATTGATTTTTTTAATATGGGCTCACCCTTGCCACAAGTTGCCAGACACTGTGTTCTCTCGCATGCTTATGCACCCATCTCTCAGACCTTAGTGTCCTCGATTAAATGACTGAGCTGCATGCATGTATGTATGAGGCGTTTTCTGTGATCAAATTCCTGGCTGCTGCTGCTTTGTTTTTTTGGTCTCTTGCAGTCCATTTTGGCAGGTGCATTTGTTAATCGTGACAAGGAAGTCATTCGCAGCGTTATGCACC